TCGCGAGCAAGACCGGCGGCCTCGTCGAGAGGCTGGACCTGGAGCGCACCGCGCTTTTTCTCGTCGTCCTCGCCAGCGTGGTGCATTTCAGTGGCCACTGGTACGAGGCCTTCTCTCCGGAACTCACCGTCAACGGCACCTTCTACGTCGACGCCGCGTCGGACCGTGCCGTCCGTGTGCCCTTCATGACCGGGAGCTACGAGGTACGAGCACCAGCTCTTGAAGGTCGGCGTCCACCCTGGCTTTAAGATCCTACGCATGGCCTACCGCGGTCGATGCTACGACATGCAGATGTTCGCCATGTACATCTACCTCCCTAATGAGTAATGACCGCGACGGCGGCCTGCTGAACCTCGTGGGCGCCCTCAGCACCAGCCCGGCCACGCTCCTGCGCGCATGAGTGGCGGAGGGAGGATTCACGGTGGGGAAGCTCAAGATCCCAAAGTTTCAGGCGTCGCTCAATGTGGAGGCGGCGCAGCTCCGGCAGGATCTGGGGCTGGACCTGCCGTTCCTCGTATCCGACGACTCCTTCACCGAGGTGCTGTGCCCGCCAGCGCCGCCTATGGCTGTGACATCCGTGGTACACCAGTGCTTCCTCAACGTCAAGGAGGAAGGAACCGTGGCGGCCGCTGCCACGGTGGCAAAAATAGAGGATGGGTTTGGCATCTCCGATGATCCTCCTGTTGATTTGTGGCGGACCACCCCTTCCCCTCTTCTTCCTCATGGAGGATATGTCACTGGCGTGGTGGTGTTCGCAGGCCAAGCTATCGACCCTTCATTCCATTATTAATTATTTTGTTCCTCCTGTAATCCTACCCCATGACATGCTGGCCAAAATAATTGAAAAAACATTTTAACCTATTTTCCATATGAAATTATTAGTACAGTAATTTCTACGTTACCAGTGAAGCTGAGTTGTACCAAATAAGTCTGATGTTAAGCTGAGAGTATACAGCTATATTATATTACATACAGTCATCAGCTTCCTGTAAAAAGGTCAAAGATTTAATCAACAAATGCCCAGAGTGTAGGTGACGAGAGCCAAACATAGGGATATGTTAAGGCCCCGGGAGATAGGCTTTCGACCGACAGACACCCCCCCGACCGATCCCACCAGGATCGCTCAGGGGCTCGAGGACTATACCCATCGGGTACGCTCACGCATACCCTCTGGTTAAAGATCGGGTATAGCCCGAGCGCAGCCACCACCTCCGCTCAGAGATCCCGACCGACGGAGACCGAGCCTGGCCACAGCTCTACCCCAGCCCGAGCTAATGGTCGGGCCAGCCACCGATGCCCCGAGCGTCGGCCACCTCCCTAGTGCTGGCCAGCCCGCCAAGCATCCAAGGCTCGGGGGTACCCCGGCGCTAGCCCAACCAACGGGCACGGGGCACTGTCGACCACTCCTCTCACAGAGTCACGCTGATGGTATGCAACAACAAGACAAAGCGCTGCACCGGCTCTAGAGACGTGGAGGTCCTGGGCCCGTTCATCAGCCCCCTGAGTCAGGCGCCTTCGCTACTAAGGAAGCCTCGAGAAGGCTTCACCTGGTGGAGGCCGGTCCACAGCAGAGAGCCCCTAGCGGTCAAGCGCCAAGGCTGCAGTGATGTCAAGCAGCACCCACAGCTAACTCCCCCCGACTCCACGATGACGTCGAGGTCCATCCATACCGCAGCAGCACCCTCCTAAACCTCGGTGCACAAAGGGTATAGACTGTAGCCCCCAAACCGCCTTGTACCCGATCTTCCCAGGATATAAGGGGAAGGTCGGCTCCCATAGACGGGAGGATCTTCTCCCTTGCCTCATTCGTTAGGAGGCTAAAGAATAGAGCAACCGAGAGGAACAGCAGAGTGCCTTCCTCCAGTAACCTAGCAAGAGCGAGGAGCGTTTCCCTTACTCGCTGGGGAAGCAACCTCACCACCGATGAGCCGTAGGATAGCACCGAGCGATCCCCTACCAAACTCTCTTTCTCCTTTGTTGTAACCCTCCGATTTGGGTGCACTCGAATACAAAGACTACTCACTACTGGGCGTAGGTCCTCGGAATCCTGAATCAGGATACATCGCCGTGTCTCCTCTTGTGTTCTTTGAGTACCTGAGCCATCGGAGACCCACACTCCTAACATCCAACGAACAACGATGCTTGCCACAACAATGAACCTGCGACAGTAGGTAACCTATTCAGGTCTCCACACAGACGGTAACAGTTGCTTGTAGTTTGCTGCCGAGCTTAATTTCTCTAGGGCAGGCATGCCAGTTCCTGGTGTTCTCATGAAATGCATGGCCACTCCTACAAGCCACCGTGGAGCTTATTCCCCGCCTCTGATGCCATACTTTATAGAAGTGGGGCCACATGGCCAACTACTAATTTTTCTTCGGTTGGGCCACAACTGTTTCACACTTCCTCTTGGCATACTAGTTCAGAACCTTCTATGCCCACAATCCACACGGTACTCTCACCATCCGATCCCACGGCACTGCCATGACGCCAGTCGTATGCCTTGGAGCTAACATTCCTAGTGCTCTTGTGAAACGCATGGCCACTACTACATCTACAAGCAACCGTCGAGTTTATCCCCACCTCTGATGCCATATTTTATAGAGTGGGGCCACATGGTAGTGTTTGCTTTGGTTTGGCCACAACAGTTTCACGCTTCCTCTTGGTATACTGGTCCGGAACCTTCGATACCCATAGTCCACACAGTACTCTCACCATCCGATCCCGCGGCACCGCCATGACGCCAGACGTATGCCTTGGAGCCAACGTTTCTGTTGTTCTTGTGAAACGCATGACCACTACTACATCTACAAGTAACTGTGGAGCTTATCCCCACTTATGATGCCATACTTTATAGAGTGGGGCCACATGGTAGTGTTTGCTTTAGTTTGGCCACAACAGTTTCATGCTTCCTCCTGGTATACTGGTTCGGAACCTTCGATACCCACAGTCCACACGGTACTCACACCATCCGATCCCGCGGCACCGCCACGATGCCAGACGTATGCCTTGGAGCTAACGTTCCTGATGTTCTTGTGAAACACATGGCCACTACTACATCTACAAGCAACCGTGGAGCTTATCCCCGCCTCTGATGCCATACTTTATAGAGTGGGGCCACATGGTAGTGTTTGCTTTGGTTTGGCCACAACGGTTTCACGCTTCCTCCTGGTATACTCGTTCGGAACCTTCGATACCCATAGTCCACACGGTACTCTAACCATCTGATCCCACGGCACTACCACGACGCCAGATGTATGCCTTGGAGCTAACGCTCCTGGTGTTCTTATGAAACGCATGGCCACTACTACACCTACAAGCAACCGTGGAGTTTATCCCCCGCCTCTGATGCCATACTTTATAAAGTGAGGCCACATGGTCAACTACCCATTTTGCTTCGGTTTGGCCACAACGGTTTCACGCTTCCTCGTATACTCGTCCAGAACCTTCCATATCCACAATCCATAGGATGCTCTTGCTGTCCGATCCCGCGGCACTGCCACGGTGCCACATGTATGCTTTGGAGCTAATGTTCATGGTTCTTGTGAACACATGGCCACTTCTATACCTAAAAGCCACCGTGGAGCTTTATCCCCCGCCTCTGATGCCATACTTTATAGAGTGGGGCCACATGGTAGTGTTTGCTTTGGTTTGGCCACAACGATTTCACGCTTCCTCCTGGTATACTCGTTCGGAACCTTCAATACCCACAGTCCACACGGTAGTCTCACCGTCTGATCCCGCAGCACCGCCACGACGCCAGACGTATGCCTTGGAGCTAACGTTCCTGGTGCTCTTATGAAACCCATGGCCACTACTACACCTACAAGCAACCGTGGAGTTTATCCCCCGCCTCTAATGCCATACTTTATAAAGTGGGGCCACATGGTCAGCTACCCATTTTGCTTCGGTTTGGCCAAAGCGGTTTCACGCTTCCGCCTGGTATACTCGTCCAGAACCTTCCATATCCACAATCCTCAGGATGCTCTTGCTGTCTGATCCCGCGGCACCGCCACGGCACCACAAGTATGCCTTGGAGCTAACGTTCATGGTTCTTGTGAACACATGGCCACTTCTATACCTACAAGCCACCGTGGAGCTTTATCCCCCGCCTCTGATGCCATACTTTATAGAGTGGGGCCACATGGTAGTGTTTGCTTTGGTTTGACCACAACGGTTTCATGCTTCCTCCTAGTATACTCGTTCGGAACCTTCGATACCCATAGTCCACACGGTAGTCTCACCATCCGATCCCGCAGCACCGCCACGATGCCAGACATATGCCTTGGAGCTAACGTTCCTGGTGTTCTTACGAAACGCATGGCCACTACTACACCTACAAGCAACCGTGGAGTTTAGGAGTTTATCCCCCGCCTCTGATGCCATACTTTATAAAGTGGGGCCACATGGTCAACTACCCATTTTACTTCGGTTTGGCCACAGCGGTTTCACGCGTCCTCCTGGTATACTCGTCCAAAACCTTCCATATCCACAATCCACAAGATGATCTTGCTGTCTGATCCCGCGGCACCGCCACGGCGCCACAAGTATGCCTTGGAGCTAACGTTCATGGCTCTTGTGAACACATGGCCACTTCTATACCTACAAGCCACCGTGGAGCTTTATCCCCCACCTCTGATGCCACACTTTATAAAATTGGGACCACATGGTCAACTACCCATTTTGCTTCTGTTTAGCCACAGCGGTTTCACGCTTCCTCCTGGCATACTCGTCCAAAATCTTCCGTATCGTCCATGCGATGCTCTCACCGTCATCCCGCGGCACCGCCACGGCGCCACACAGGTATGCATGCCTTGGAGCTAACATTCCGAGACCTCCTGTTGCGTGTGTTGTCTATTTAAACCTCGTCGTCGGCACTCGGGACCGACCACCAGCACACGCACCGTACCGTCGTGGATCAGGCAATCAGCCACGCAACTTATAACCCTCGAAATTCCCAAACAAAGCTCGTTCTTCGCAAGCTGCCAGCCCGTCCCGTCGATATGGCGGACAAGAACGCTGCTGCGGCGGTGATGAAGCCGGCGACGAGGGCGTACGTCACGCTCCTGGCGAACGACGGCGCCGACGACGATAGCTTCAAGGGCGTGGTGGGGCTGGCAAAGGGCCTTCGCAACGCCGGCTCGGCCTACCCGCTGGTGGTGGCCGTGCTGCCCGACGTGCCGGAGTCCCGCCGCCGCGTCCTCATGGATGAGCTGGACTGCGTCGTCCGCGAGGTCCAGCCCGTGTACCCGCCCCACTACAACAAGCTCCGCCTCTGGGAGGTAATTATAACCAACCGATGAGCTGATGATCCACATACTACTTTATTTATTCGAACTTTCGAAGTAGCGAAATTGATCGATCCTGCGATGATATGTATGGTGTGTGTGCTCGATCGCTCAAGTTAATGTCGCCGTCGTGGCCGCTGGCCGGCTTCGTGCAGTTCGTGGAGTACGATCAGATGATGTACCTGGACGCAGGCTTTCAGGGGTCGTTGGAGAACATCCACGAGAAGTTCGAGCCGAACCACGGCCCGCCGCCGGCGCCCTACGTCGACGCCGACATGTTCGTGTACACACCCAGCATGGCCACCGCCAGGCTCCTTCTCCACATGCTCGCCGTCATGATGAGGCCGCGCACCACCATCGCCGATCATCAGCAAGCAGCGGCCGGGTGAGAGTAGATCGCCGTCGTCGAAGAGATTTATCGGCAACTGGCCGGCGTGTGTCTCTGAATCTGTCAGGACTTCCCACCCTACCTGGTGTTTATTGCTGATTGAACATCTGATTTCTTGCAGCAGCAGCCGACAATTCAGTAACAGCCTCACAACAGCCATGCAAGTGATGAAGGTATTCTTCATGGCGGCCGTTGCTGTTGTCACCATCTATCTTCACTATTACTAAATCTCTGTGATGGATCACTGGCGCCTGACGACTGACATGAAAAGGCCACAGCGTGTTTCGTTGGAAGTCCTCTGTCATGCTCCCTTTAATTTCTTTTGCCCCCTGTTCATGAGCACCAGAAATCGCTTTGTTCTTTTAACTTAGAGTCGCAGACTCACAGGGGGATGGGAAACGAGAAATCGGTGCCATGTACAACATTTCTCTTATACAATATACAATATATATATATATATATATATATATATATATATATATATGGAGAGTATTTTCAGTAGCCAACTACAAAATAAGTTATTTTGTAGCCACCTCCATTTACGATAATTTTATATACTAATTTACGATAATGTCAATACATATTTACGATAAATTATTTTGTAGCTTTCTACTAAATATACTCTCCCTATATATATAAACAGAATATACTGTTTCGGTGCGACAAAATTTCACCTCCCATCGTCGGTCAGTCCCCCTGCAATCCCCGCCCGTCTTCCCCACGCAATAGAAAAGGAAATCTCCATCCTGCCATCCCCGCGCGATAAAAAAGGAAATCGCCGTCCCTGCAATCCCCGCCCGCTTTCACCATGCTACCCCCACGCGTCGTCCTCATCCACCTCCCTCGTCATCACCGTCGCATGCGGTCATTGCCGTCATCGCCCTGGCTTTGACATCCTCCATCTTCCTCACCAGCCGATCCTCCGTCTCCTGCTCGCGCCTCGTCCTCGCGCCGCCAACTCCACGATCTTCTCTTGATCTCGCTGCGGTGGTGGTGGACCAGCATGAGGATTTGTACCAGGAGATCGGGGTACGGCACGGTGAAGGACCTGACACAGGAGCCCTCGACTCGCCGACGCAGTGGCTGTCAACGAAATATGGTCGGCAGTCTTACCGAGGGGTATGCCCACGGTAGTAGATGAATCGGTGGAGGTGCGCGTAATAGGAGCCGGATGGTGACACAAGCGCAGAGATAAGCGATTTAGACAGGTTCAGGCCATCTGATCGACGTAAAACCCTACGTCATGTGTCTTCGGTGGATTGTATCGAATATGAGATGCATTCGAGTTGGGGTCCCTACCTGCCTTATATAGTCTGAAGGGTAGGGTTACAGGGCGGTTTAAGTCTAGATCTATTCGGCTATATGATAAGTATTTACAAGGAATACGATATCTATCATATCCGAACAGATCTTCCTTCATCGCCAAGATGTCTTCTGATTGTCTTGCGGTGCACGTCGACCAGAGCCGAGCAACGTAGGCCTTGATCTTATGGGCTGGACCTCCCCTGGCAGTGCGGCCCATGTCCATTGCCGTGGGTACCTAGGGTTATACCCCCCACAGCTAGTCCCCGAGCGCCTTATATCCGCTGAGCAACGCCGTCTTGAGCAGGTCCGAGTAGTTTAACTTGGAGTCAGACAGTTAATCTGGCAATCCGACCAGTTTAACTGGTAATCCAATCAACAAAATAAAGTGCCGACCAGTTTGACTGATAATCCGATCAACAAAATAAAGTGCCGACCAGTTTAACTGGTCAATAGGCCTCGAACATATTCAAGTAAGGCTTGCTAAAAGGATGTAAGGAGCTCAAGTTTAAAATTTAAAAAATTCTCCACCTTAGGTGAAGTGTACACACTTAGGCTTCGTTGGCGAAGTCAGATGATCATCATCCATGACTTAGTCAAAGAGGATGTTAGTACTGTTATATGCGCCGTAAGGTGCAATGTATACAGTGTAGTCCCCGAGCCTGACAGTAGGTGAAGAAGACACCTGGTGTTAGGATCAAAGAATATCAACGACTGAGAAAAAAAAGGGAACTTGGCCAACCGTTAAATTTGATACAAGCACCGCAAGGTGCAATGTATATATTGTAGTCCCCGAGCCTGACAGTAGGTGAAGAATGCACCTAGTGTCAGGATCAAAGAAATACAACGATCAGTTATTTAGAATAACTGAGTCTCAGCTTAGCCGAGCACATAGCCAGCCCCTAGCTTAATTGAAGACCAGTAAGAGGAAAAATAGTACACTCACTGCTAGGTGAAGTGTACACACTTAGTCCCCGAGCCTGCTGTAAGATAGAGCAGCATCTTGTAGCAGGATCAAAGAAACAAGTGAAAAGGACGAAATCCCCATGCTTAGCACTGGACATTAGAGTAAAATTTGGAGAGTGTTGAGCACTTAAAAATGGAGAAAAAATGAAGAGTGCTTAGCACTTTTACCGTTGGAGAACATGGAGAGTGCTTAGAACTATACCGTGGTGAATATGGAGATTGCTTAGCAGTATACCGTGGCGAACATGGAGAGTGCTTAGCACTATACCATGGCGAACATGGGAAGTGCTTAGCACTTAACCATGGCGAAATTTGGAGAATGCTTAGCACTATACCATGGTGAACATGAAGAGTGCTTAGCACTTAATCATGGCAAAATTTGGAGAGTGCTTAGCACTATTCCATGAAGAAAATAGAGAGGTAAACCGACAAAGTAGGCTCAGTCGTTCAGTATGCCCGGAGGCCAGTTAAACCGGCCCAATAACCATTGACGGAGAAGTTGGAGGGGTGCGAACGACGCGGCCGAGTCAGCACGGTTTCCCAAAAACCCTGAAGGTCAAGGGTCGGGGTCGAACCATATGAATCCACCTGCGGCGGTGCACTTCCCTCATTCCTCCTAGCGTGTCTTCTTCCTTGCAACCGCAAAATACTCGGCGCTTCGCCTTCGCACACCCTGTGACAGTCGCATTACAACCGTAGCGCCTCCTCAATCAAATCTGAGTGTAGCCAAATCAAATCGGATCTGATCCATGGCGAAGGGTGGGAAGAAACGCAGCCGCTCGAGCCCGAAGAAGTCAGGGAGGGAGGCGGCGGAGAGTACCGACGAAGTCCGCCGCGACCAAGAGTGGGTCAGATCTACCATCACCCAGGAGACCCTAGAAAAAATGGTGTTTGAAGGCATCCTTCAAAATCAAGTAACCATAGGATGGCGCCCCGTTGTAGGTGAACCGTTCCCAACTCCCGATACCAACGAACTTGTTGTATTCGAGGCTTATTTCGTTCGTGGATTTGGGATTCCTACGCATCCTTTCCTGCGAAAGATTCTTGGCTATTACGGCATTAACCTTTGCCATCTCAATCCCAATAGCATTCTTCATATCTCCCTCTTCATCAATCTATGCGAAGCATTCATTGGAATCGCTCCGCACTTCAACCTCCTTCGCTATTTCTTCTGCCTCAAACCCTTCATTGGATCTGGGTCCCCCAAAGTTGTCGGCGGAGTTTATCTACAGCTGAGGGATAGCATGGTGAAGGAATACATACAAGTTCCTCTCAACACGTCATTGAAGGGACAGAATGCTAAGTGGTTCTATATCCGAAATGCTGAACCGAGCATGTCGGCCGACATATACCATTTAGCAGTGCCAAGCGCAAACTGGTCGGTAAGGCCGACCAATTCGGAGATGACCCAGGTCGATGAGCTTCTGCAAATTCTGGGTCAGATGCGTAACAATCTTGATAGAGTTGGTGTAGCCATCAACTTCGTCGTACGCTAGATCCAACCGAGCAAGGAGAGGTTCCACATCGCATACGAATATACAGGTGATGAAGATACCGCTCAGGAAGCCCCCGAGAAGTTAAATAAGGGCAACGCCTATGTTCGCCTCCAGGAGCTCTTTTCAAGTAACACCAAACTGAGCAACACGGGGCAGCGAGTGGCATACAGCATCACGAATCCCCCACCACTAGTAAGAGTGTACCGTTGGCAGTCCTTATAATGTCAAATCTTGTTGATGTTGAAACGTCTTCTTGAAAACTTATGGACAGGATCATGCTATGTATGTCTCTAACATGCCGGATGGGACCTAGCCGAAGGGCGTAGATGCCCGTGCAACCCAAGCTCTGGTCGGTCCTCCTTCGGAGAGCAACTCGTCATCCTCATCTGAGGACATGGTGGAGGAAACTCCGAGGCATCGGCAGCCGTCACGTGGGAAACAATCGGCCCGAGCAGAGCCGATGAAGAAGAAGAAAAAACCAAACACTCTGCCACCACATAAGAGGGGTGGAATCTCGATTAGAGAGCCTTCGGCACGCCGACAAGTCATCGCGGACTGGTCAAATGATGATGAAGACGTAGGTGAGACGCTGCAGCAACGAGCTGCGCGGATGACCACTCCAACACCGACTGCCAGAGCCTTCGACCGCTTGCCCATGGCGTAGCTGACCAAAGATCCACTCGGGGCAAAAGTCCTCGAGCCTAGACGAGGGGCTTTGGCCAGGAGAGCCACCGTGGCGAGGTAAGAAGCGCTGGAGGCGAACCGGTCGCCTCTGGTGTTCTCAAGGTTCATGCCGGCAACTGAAGGACAGGGGAGCTCCAACAGGCCCTGGCCATTTAGAGCTACACGCAGGCGATCCAATGAGTAAGTGTCTCTGTCCCAGACTTAGTCCATGCATAACCAAAGTGGAAGTATTGATGATACAACATCATGTTGCCAGGAAGCGTCGACCGAGGAACTTCACCCAATCGACATCGGTGATGCTCAGTAGGACGTTGAGCCGAGTGCCACGACTGCCGGTGCTTAGGGTGCTTGGGCGGGTCAAAGCTCTAGTTTGGTTTTGGTGAATTGATGAAACCCTAAGTGCTAACCTAGTTTATCAAAGTGATTATGAGATAGGTAGCACTACTCCAACTGGTGAAGCAATGGTGATCATGACATGATGATGGTGATGATCAAATGCTTGAACTTGGAAAAAGGAGAAAGAAAAACAAAAAGCTCAAGGCAATGGTGAAACTTGATAGGAGCTTTTTGTTCTAGTGATCGAGACACATTGTGAGTGTGATCACATTTAGGATCGATAGCCATACTATTAAGAGAGGTGAAACTCGTATCAAAATGCGGTTATCAAAGTGCCACTAGATGCTTTAACTCATTGCATATGCATTTAGGATCTAGTGGAGTGCAAACACCCTTGAAAATGTTTGTGAAAATATGCTAACACACATGCACAAAGGTGATAC